GTGTTGCAGTTGAACAGTCCACAAGTCGTCAAATAAAGCTCGCGCATTCATAATAAAACGTGCCGCAGACGGGGGATGAATAAAGGCCCCCTGTAGCGAATCCTTGTGTTTTTAGAGAAAAATATCCATATTTCAAACGTAATAAACACTTTTCTCTCACTTCCGCTGACTGTCATACACTGCAGCATATTTTTCTTACAAAAACGCATCGATTTGCTACGGGAGGCCTTTGTTCGCCCCCCGGAGCCATGTGAGACTTTTTTTTATGGATGGGTGCTTTTTATTTAACTTCTTTGGGACTGAAGCACTGCAACGCCCGCAGACTGCAATGATAGAGCTTGGAATAGCCAGGACAATTTTTTATATAAATCCGACTTGATTCGTCTGAAAGAAGAAAGTCATATACACCTAGGATCATGGGCGTCGGAAGCAAAATAAATGTGGGTGGGTCCTCCCCCAGAAAATATTTACTGGAGTATATGCCATTTTCTGTAGTGTGGTGCCTTTTAATTAACAGTGTCTATTTCCAAAAAGTGCAAATAAGCCGCCTGGTTGGCAGCTATTTACTTCACCTCCGCCCACTAACGTGACAACATTACAAAAGACGGCTACTGAGCAACATTTCCAGTGGTGTAAGTGGTAACGCGGGTTGCGTAGTGTTTTTGATGCGAGCGACCCGAGTTCGTGTCCGCCTTTTGCGACATAGTCTAATTTTCCTTTTTGGGTGAACTAACCCTTTAATATTGCTTATCAGTTTGAGCATATTCATGCCATTTAACTGCCATTTAACTTGAGAAGCAGAGGATATTATTGAAGAGGATCGTGCAGAACCTGTGCAAGCACGGCTTTTAATGGTAGGCCTATATTTTTTGTTTGTTGTTGTCTCATACTTTTAGATATGCTGTTATTTGTAAATGCTACTGCTTATGTTAGCATTTAATATACGGTTTCATCCTGATTAAAGCTTTAGCACACTGGAGCAGTTCACCCAAGTCAGGAACACTGTAAACACAGGCAGTGAACACACAGTTATTCATTTACACATTACAAACTCACAGGTTTAATCATAATTTCCCTGAAATATTATGAAAAACATTAGCAATCCTCAAAAAAGGAAAATTAAAAATTTTATCTAATTAATAATCACATATTAAGAGCTACTGTCTGTCACTTCAGATGTTTTAACAAAGAGCTTTTTCACCAAAAAAAAAAAAAACTAAGTGTCACAGGGACAAATCAGGTTATGACAGA